ACAATTTGGAAATCAGTTTTTAAGTTGTGATGATTTTGATTTTGTTTTTATTTTTATCATTCGGAAAATTAATTTGTTTTATTAAATAACAATTTCTCAAGATTGAATAGATAATAAAAGTATTTTTTCATGAATTAAATAAAAAAATACTTATTGCCAATGAGAGTTTAAAAGCAACACTATTTGGTTTGTGATAAAAATATTTTTATTGCAGGTCTGCAGACTAAATTTTCAAAGTTGTGACATGTTTCTACTAACATAATCATGCAGGTTTAATACAGTTAGATTATTTCAAGTATCCTACTATATTGTTCATTTGAAGAACAATTTTGATTATCAATATATAGCTATTTATTTCATAAATATTACATTCATATAATTATTTATAAGCGAAAATAGGTCTATGAATTATTGAATTTAGCAACTAGGACAAAAATTGACTATTAGACTAATATAATTGTTGTGAGAGGTATTAAACCACCTCACTCTTTTATAATCTGGTCATAGCTGCTGTAAATTGTAATATCTGATTTAGGTGAATTAATTTCTCTATAAAACTCACTTATGAAAACAAATAATTTAAATGATTTCGCTTATTATAGAAACAAATTCTATGGATTTATGTACCGCAACTCATCCGCTAGTATAAATTATTTGTTTTTATTCTATACAAAAATATTCGTGTATAACAGCATATTATGTTATTTCAAGTAATTTGTATTTGAAAAAATAATATATAACCCGATTATACAAGTGTATTATCAGTAAAAATTCTGATGTTACGGTAATGTTACATGGTGAAAATGCGAATTTGAACGACTCGTTCAGGAAAACCATAGTAAGGAGTAATTGATAAGAACCGTGACCGATCGTAAGAAATGAACGAAAGAACGAGTTATATGAACGGGTCATTTGAACGATCCGGATCGTTCGATTGATCCGAAATTCCCATCACTAGTAGTGTTTGGCATTCGTTCATCGATCATTTTCCCGTCGGTTATCTGTGACACGAATCAAAGAGATTATAAATATTTGTCCAAATACGCGATAAGTGGGAACGGTCTACTCGGCTATGTTTTTTATTTTAACGGATATTCGATCAAAATCAATAATTTATTTATTTAAATACATTATTTTAGTTAGTTAATTAAATGATTTGTTTTAATTAGTTAATTGGATAAATTTTCAGTTACATTATATTATACAGTGATTTTTTACAGCTAGTCAATCAAGTACCCTTAAAATAATAAGTTTTTTAAAAATATTTCAGGGATAAAAAAAAAATTTATTTAACTTCATATTATTGTAGAGTTTTATAAACTTAATTTTTCTTTTTACAAAAATTTTAAATTCTCAATAGTTTCTGAGAAAATAAGTGTCTTACCAGATTTTGATCATACTGTACATATAAAAAATAACTACAAAAAAATTCAGGCTGATCAGATAAGTTTAACTCGTCCTGACTTGGGATTGAAAATTGGCTAAAAAGAGTAGTTTTTTAGTTTTTAGAAATTAACCCGTAAATTAGTGCTCTCACAAAAAAATTATAAAAACAATATTTTAAGTCTATATAATGAAAATTTATCACTTGTGGCTAATTAATTAAGTAAAATTAAAACTATATTAAAAATATTATTAATTTAAAAAATATTAAAAATATTAAACTCAAAGCCACAAAAAATTAATGAAAAGTCGCGGATACGTATTTTATTTATTATGTAAACACATACTGAGTATGTGTTTAGCGTTGATAATGGTAACATTGTTTCCAAAATACGTATCCGCGACTTTTCATTAATTTTTTTTTGGCTTTTGAGTTTAATATTTTTAATATTTTTTAGTTTTTTTAAATTAATAATATTTTTAATATAGTTTTAATTTTACTTAATTAATTAGCCACAAGTGATCAATTTTTATTATAT